CCAGCGTGGGCCTGCTGAGCTCCGCCACGGGAATCACGGGCAGCACACTCACCATCAACAACACGGCCAACGCCGGGAACTTCACCACGGTGGGCAACGTGTCCACTGGCACGCTGACGGCCTCGGGCGCAGCCACCGCGGCGAGCTTCGCTGCCACCGGTGCGCTCACGGGCGCCACGCTGACAGTCAGCGGGGCGGCCTCCACGGGCCCGCTGGACTGCGAGAGCCTGGACTGCACCTTCACGGCCACGAGCGGCGGAGTGTCGTCGGGCAGCGTGGTGTGCGGCGACGTGACGAGCTCGGGCACGGTCTCCGCGCCGCAGCTCTTCGCCTCCAACACGCTCACCGTGACCAACACCTCCGACTTCTCGGACGATCTCTTCTTGACGAAGAACTGGGCGGGCTGGGGCAAGCTGCAAGTGTCCAACAACAGCGCGGCCCCCGACAGCGGCCCGGAGCTGCGGCTGCTGGGCAACCAGAGCGCGCGGGTCTTCCTGGAGCGGGACGTCGGGGCGCACCAGTGCGAGCTCATCATGATCAACGACGAGGCGCTGGTGCAGACAAAGAGCCTCTCGACGCAGCTGTCCCTGACCACGAACCAGCGGAACCCCGGCTGCCTCGTGATCGCGGGCAACACGGGCAACGTGGTCTGCAACCCGAGCTTCACGGACTTGTCGGACAGCCGGGTGAAGACGGAGATTGCCGAGGCCGACGTGGCAGAGCTCAAGCAGCTCTTCGACTCCGTGGAGGCCAAGCAGTACAAACGCCCGGACATGAACGGCGACCTGAGGCTGGGCTTCGCCTCGGACGACTTCGCAGGAACAAAGTGGAAGAATTTGACGGGGACCACGCGGTGGAGCGACGGCACGGAGATGGTCACGCTGGACTACTCGCACCTGACCAGCGTGCTCTGGGGGGTGTGCAAGGGCTTCCAGGCCCGGCTGGACGCACTTGAAGCCTGGCAGGCCCAGCGGGGGCCGAAGAACAAGTAAAAAATGGAGGCGCTGTGGGACCTGGCCGACGACTTCAACGTGCGGGACCCGCGGAAGCTGTACCGACTCGCGAGGCAGCGCGACCTCGACGTGACGCAGGCCATGGCCTTCGAGGCGCTGAAGGCCGACGTGGGCCGGCAGGTGCAGGCGCCCCGGCCGCGCGCGCTTGGCAAGTCGGCCGCCGAGGGGCCGAACGACCGGCTGCAGGCCGACCTCATCGACTTCAGCCAGAACACGCGGGGGAAGACGAAGTACGGCCTGGTGGTGATGGACGTCCTCACCCGGGAGGCCGCCGTGGAACCTCTGCAGAACAAGAACGCCGAGACGGTGGGCCGCGCCACCAAGCGCGCCGCGCGGGAGCTGACGGGGGACGACGGGAACTTTGTGGTCACGACAGACCTGGGCAACGAGTTTGCCACGCTGGACCGGGAGCTGCCCGAAGCCGTGCACCGGACGAAGCGGCCCGAGGACCGCAACGCCATTGCCGTGGTGGACCGGGGCATCCAGACCCTGAAGAAGGACCTGGCCACTCGAGTCGCCAGGAAGGGCGGCGGGTGGAGCCAGCACCTCGAGCAGGTGGCGGACGCGTACAACGCTCGGCCCCACGAGACGGTGCACGCTGCGCCGGAGGACGTCGAGAAGCAGCCGGCCACGGAGTTCCGTGTGCTCCAAGACAACGCCAACCGGTTCCAGCACAACAAGGACCTCACGGAACGCCGCATCAAGGCCATAGAGGACGCGGGCGCCTTCCGAGCGCCGACGAACGCGGCAAGGAGCTTCAACCCTCAGTACGGCGACGTGCAGCAGCTCGCGGCCGTGGACTCCATGACCGTCAGGGGCACCGAGGGCCGTGAGACTCTCCTGAAGCTGGCCCTGCCGGCTCCCCAGGGCAGCGGCAACGCTGCGGGCAGGCTGACTAGGCGTGGTAGACCGGCGGCCGTGAGGCAGCTCAACGACTTCCTGGGCCCGCCCTGGGCGAGGACAATCGACTGATAACCGGCAACTTTGCAGTACCCAAGTACGGCTGATAACGCTACTGGCAACTTTGCAGTACATTTGAGCCAAAGACCGCAGCTCCAGCTGGCAACTTTGCAGTACATTTGAGCCAAAGACCGCAGCTCCAGCTGGCAACTTTGTAGGACGGGGAGCTGGCAACTTTGTAGGACGGCAAGTGGCAGCTTTGGAATACTTTGAGACGCGCGTTTAGGTGGGAACCCCAAAAGAACAGCCGCAGTGCGGTTCGGGAGAAAAAGACGCGCAAACCCCTAGAGTATTAACGGGGAGGGGGGGCACGTGCACGCGCACAATTTCTCTCACGCAAAAGTGCGTCGCATGAACTTGATTGCTGTGCCGGGGAGCCGGCTTTGTGTTTGTGAGGCAGATGATGGCCCGGCCTTGAGAGTCACAGAGATTGCTTGGTTTTTGATTCGACATGCAATGAAAACAAGAGTTGACGGCTGCACCGCATGAGCTGGATGTTCCCGACAATTTGCATTGTGAGCAAATGACATGACTGCACGTTTTTCTCCTCTCAACAGTGCGGAACGCCTTTCAGGCACCCACACCGGTCGTCACGTGAGACACTGTTCCATCACGTGAACTACCTGTAGAAGGACAGCTCGGTCCCAAAAAGGTGCACATGCACAAAACTAGAGAGACTCACCGCTTTGAGCTGGCAAGGAAAGCCTTGGTCTCACGGTGCTTTGCCAGCAACTTCCCACAGTACTTGTGTGCCTCGAACTCTGCCTTGAAGATATCCCTCGCGCCTACCCGGTTGATGCCCCGAGCACTGGCCGTGAAGGCCTCCAAAGCAGCCTGCCATCCAAGGCAGTCAGGGCCGCTCTTGAGCAGCGTTCCCGTGGTCTCCACAAAGTTAGCCACGGCCTTGCTCGCATAGAACGTCTCCGACGAATCGCCGGTCTCAAGGACCACACAATGCGGTCGCGGGTGGATCTGGGTGTCTGTGAGCCGGGGCAGAAAGACTTTGTAGACCTCCAGGGGGCAAAAAAAAAAGCCGCAGCGCGCAAGCTAATCAATGCATGATCTCCCCCAAAAAAAGGGAGCGCCTGGAGCAGCAGGTAAAGCAGCCCCGGGGCGACGCTATCCACGACAGCCGTCGCCTTCCACCGCAAATCCACGACTCGGTCATTCGGACCAAGCGGCATGCCCGGGGCGACAAACCGCAATGGCCACCGCACCTTCGTCAGCGACCTCCCAACGCCGCCATCCTCGGCGGTCCAGGACACCCTACTGTTGGTGGCAAGCACCATGCCCCAAGTGACGTTGAAGTCAACGTTGTCCCCGTACAGTGTGCGAGCCGTCAAGGTCGTTGCGTGGTCGCGGAAGTCCTTGAAAATCGTGCTCTGAATGGGGTGCTTCTCCTCCAGCTCGTTGAACCACAGCAACCGCCTTCCCCTGAGGCCGAAGCGCACAGGCGCCGCCTCATCCGGCGGTTGCGGCGGCTTCGTGAGCACCTCAAGCACGTGTAAACCATCGATTTCAAGGGGCATTCGAACAAAACAACACAAAGCATTGTTTTATTGAGACATTGCACGCAGTGGAGACTGGGCAAAACAGGGCATCGTTTTTGACTCACACAAGACCCCGCCTCCTTGGGCGGTGTGTGGCCACAATCACCAAAGAGTTTGAGCAGCATGGACATCCAGGCGTTCTTGCCGTTCTTCCCAGCGCCGACCCAAAGCATCCCATCCTCCAAGCTTTTCGTGGAACACAGCTGGAAGGCAGCAAACTTCAGCAGGAAAAGGACCCTGGGCCATGACTCGTGCGAGCTGAAGAGGAACCGGAGGGCTGCAAACTCCGGGTGCTGGGAGAGGTTCCACAGGCGGTCTGCCAAGGTCTGGGGGAACATGTCCTCGCTGGTGTAGTCTTTCTCCGGCAGGCCGTCCTCAAAGCAGGCCACCTCCTCCAGGAGGGCGGCGACGTTCAAAACGTCCAGCTTGTGCGTCAAGTCACCGGGGTAGGAGATCCCCAGTGAGCGGCTCATCCGCAAGTCCCTGCGGCCTCTGGTGGCCTGCATGGTTGGTACGTGCAGCGCCCAGCCATCCAGAAACAACAAGAAGTCACGGTACTTATTGCCGTCCAGCTCTGCGAAGAAGTAGGGATCGTAGAGCCCCTTTTCCATCGCGGTATTCGCCACCTTGCGGAGCAAGGCGATCTGGAACGCCACCTTGGGGGGGAGGCCGACCCAGTCCTCCGGCGTCGAGTCGATGTAGACCTGCTTCACCACATCAGCCAGCGTCGTCTCGGCGTGCGCCGATTTCGCCAAAGTCCAGCGGCCCTTGCCCTCGTCAAACATGGCGGTTTCGGTGTGCCTGGTAGATGTTGGGACGCACTTGTATGTGTCCAACACAAGCACACCGTTGTTCAGCACGTGCCCGGGCAGCAACTGGGCCGCGAGATAGTCCACGGACTCCACGCCGGCCGACAGGTAGGCACTGAGCTGGAACCGAACCTGCTCCTGCTCTACCCAGTCATTGTCCACCGTCTCCGGGTGGATGGTCTTGAAGTGGCGCAGCAGCTCCTCCATGCTTTGGTAAGCCTTGATACCGAGCGGGCTGTCCGGCACCGCGGCCTGTGCGGCGCAAAGCACGCGCTGTCTCCAGAGGTCCACCTCCTCTGGCAGGAGGTCTCTCAAGGGAGCAAACACAACTCCGTCATGTTCCCAACTAACGGGCCGGCCCAGCCCCTGGGCCTCCACTGCAGCGCAAAAGGCGCTGGAGATCCGACGCTCTTCGATCTGGTGGAGGAAGGCCTGCAGAGTTTTGCCAGGGTACTCGGTGGCCAGCATCCTCATCTGGTTCTCGTACTTCTTCTCATCGATGTCCCTCAAAGCCCGCAGCTCCGCAATGAGGTCCTGGACGCACTGAGGCAGCCGGACGCCGTGCTGATCCTCAAACTCCCGGCGGCGCCCGCTGCCGCCCCCAAACAACAGGCCCGTGAAGAACTCCTTGGCGTCCTCCCGCTCCACTGGCAGCATGTCCAGGTAGGAGTCCCTATTGCGCACAAAGTGCCCAAGCCTGGCGGCGCTCGGGTGTCGCCCCAACAAGATCCGCCCGGCACTGCACTGCTGGTCGATGTCCACGAGGGGCATGCCACTGCGGCAAACCTCCTACAGGCTCGGAAAAAACGTTCACCCATCCAGGGACTCAAAAAACGCTCAAGCAAGCAAGCCCGGTCCTTCAAGGCACGCGAAAAGGAAAAGGCAGAATTTGAGGCAGCGAAGGAGCTCATGCCCAACTTCTGAAGATTGCCAAAGACGGGGGGCAGCTGCATGTAAATGCCCATCTGCGCGCTGATGGCATCCACATCGTCCTGCCCCTTCACAGGGTCGATCTTCTTGAGCCGCTTTGCCAGCTCCTCGTAGTGCTTGGCAACATAGCCACCGTAGGCTCTGCCAAGCGTCTCCACATCAAAGAGGTCAGCAACGGTGTGGCACTCCCGGTACGCCACTTTAACCACACCAGCGGCATCTGTGTCCCGCACCAAAGCCGAGCTGCGCAGCTGCACGCAGCGACCCAAAGTGCTCCACCGCCTCCCTGTTGAATGGCTCCGACAAAACGAAGCCCAGCCTGCCGGAGCCTCCCTGCCCAGTTGACCAAGTAGTTTTCACACCAAGCGATCGCATGGCCTGGAGGTAGTAGTTCCGACGCTTCTTCAAAGGCGGCTTCTCCCTGGCAGGCTCGGCGACGGCCTTGGTCTTCTTGGCAGGCTCCTCACGGACATTGACTTCGACCGCCTTCGGGAGGCAGAAAGAATCATCTTGGGACTTCCATGAAGAGACCAACACCTCCAGCCGAGAGATCCTCTCACTCCGCGGCAATTGCACGAGCTGCTGAGCGATCGCAGCCAGTTGCAACTCCTCAGAGGGCACTTGCCTACATGGAGGGTCCGGGCTCTGTCCAACTTTCACGGCATCAACAGCTTCCATGGGCCTTGGCTCCTTGACTGCGGCCGGCTCCTCAACTGCGGCCTCTGCGGCCGGCTCCTCCCGGCTCCTCAACTGCGGCCTCTGCGGCCGGCTCCTCAACTGCGGCCTCTGCGGCCGGCTCCTCAACTGTGGCCTCTGCGGCCGGCTCCTCAACTGCGGCCTCTGCGGCCGGCTCCTCAACTGCGGCCTCTGCGGCCGGCTCCTCAACTGTGGCCTCTGCGGCCGGCTCCTCAACTGCGGCCTCTGCGGCCGGCTCCTCAACTGCGGCCTGTGCGGCCGGCTCCTCAACTGCGGCCTGTGCGGCCGGCTCCTCAACTGTGGCCTCTGCGGCCGGCTCCTCAACTGTGGCCTCTGCGGCCGGCTCCTCAACTGCTGTGGCCTCTGAGTGGACGCCACCTCTCTTGTGCTGATTCCAAGCCTCCTGCAACGAGGCCAGTTTCCAATTCATGCTGGCTGCCACGCCGGCCCCCTGAAGGGCAGCCACATAGTCTTTCTTGTGTTTGAGAACGACCTCCGAGCTTTCACTGTCTGACTCATGATCATGATCACTGCCACCGGTTCTCAAACCCGTCACACGATCAAAGTCCGACATGGCAGTTTGCGGTGTTGCGGTGAAGTCTCTGCACCAAACGGCTGCCCGCAAGGGCGATCAAGGCACAACAGCTCACATGGCCCCTCAAAGTCACAAACCTCAAAGAGACCGCACACAAAGGCACTCACTGAGGTGAAAGGGCTCGCCACTCGCCACTCGCACAGCCTCGGGGCAGGGCCGCCCCCCTAGCTTCCTTTGAGTCCCCTGGTTTGAATGGGAAAAGGGGGGAAGGCCACCCGCCATCTAAAGCAGCAAACCTACGTTGCCCACGGCACCAAACCAGATTATGCTCGGATTGGGGCAGTCCCAGGGTTCACCAAGTGTTGCTCCAAATCGGGAAGCTTTGTCTCGTAAGGGCGTTCCAACCCAAAAAGCAGGGCCACCAAAGTATGGTCAAAAAACACAATCTTGCAAGATTGGGGCCCTCTGGGCAAGTTCCCTTTAATTGCAGCAAATCTGTATTGTTTGAGGGGTCCTGAAGGACCACGCACATGTTGAGTCGACCTGAAAGCCAGCTCCACCACAATGCGCGCCTCTGCAGCTCTGGCGCTTGCACCAAGAGCGCCTTGGGACAGGTGGTAGGGTACGCCTTCCAGGGCTCTTCCTGTCTGCTTCGGCCTTCGACCCTTCCCAGGTCCCCTAAGTCCCCTGGGTCCCTGGGTCCCCTAAGTCGCCTGGGTCCCCTATATCCCCTGGAGTCTTCCTGTCCCCTCAAGTTTCTTGAGTTTGCTAGGTCCCCGGTGTCCCCTAGGTCCCCTGGGTCCCTGGTGCCCCCTAGGTCCCCTGGGTCCCCTGGGTCCCCTTCTAGGTCCCCTACGTCCCTGGAGTCTTTTGTGGATCTTCTGGGTCCCCTCCCCTGGTCGCCTAGGTGCCCTGGGTCCCCTAGGTCCCCTAGGTCCCCTGGGTCCCCTGGGTCCCCTGGGTCCACTGGGGTCTTCTAGGTCCCCTACGTCCCCTGGGTCTCCTGGAGTCCCCTTGTCCCCTCCCCTGGTCCCCTAGGTCCCCTGGGTCCCCTAGGTCCCCTAGGTCCCCTGGGTCCCCTAGGTCCCCTGGGTCCCCTGGCGCGTGTACTTGAAAAAAAAAGCACCCCCCCACCCGTTGGGCGAGCCAGTACTTGAAAAAAACCGCACCGTTGGGCGAGTCAGTACCTAAAAACTCGCCCCCTGCCAGTTTTGAACGATACCTCTCTTGGCGTGGGGGATTGGGGCACAAGATAGCCAGGGGGCGCGACCCAGGGGACCTAGCAGACTCAAGGCACGACCCAGCGCTCCAGGGGACCTAGGGGACCTCGGGGACCTCGGGGGACCAGGGGACCCAGGGGCCCTCGGGGACCTAGAAAGCTGAGGGGACACCAGGGGAGGGGACCTAGCAGACTCAAGGCAGGGGACCTAGGGGACCTAGGGGACCTCGGGGGACCGGGGACCCAGGGGACCTAGGGGACCTAGAAAGCTGAGACACCAGGGGAGCCAGGACCTAGGGGACCTAGGGGACCTCGGGGGACCAGGGGACCCAGCAGACCTAGGGGACCTAGAAAGCTGACAAGACACCAGGGGACCAGGGGACCTAGCAAACTCAAGGGACGACCCAGCGCTCCAGGGGACCTAGGGGACCTTGGGGGACCAGGGGACCCAGGCGACCCAGCAGACTCAAGGGACCCAGGAAACAGGGGAGGGGACCCAGGGGACTCAGGGGACTCCAGGCCCAGGGGCGCAGGGGACCCAGGGAAATCAGGGATCTTGGGGATGTTGGGGACCCTGCAGACCTTAGGGACCTTAGAGATCTTAGGGACCCAGGGTCTTCAGAGTTCCTGATATGTTCAAATGAGTCTCCAGCATCATAAAGTAATTCAAAAAGAAAATGTCGAACTCAAAGCCACATCATTTCCCAATTACAAACACGGATGTAAAAACCAAAACATCATGTAGAAACATATAAATATAAAGATACATATAAACAGCATCCGCGATGTCCCTGGGGTCCCTGAGGTCCCTGGCGTCCCTGGGGTCTGTGGGGTCCCCAGGGTCCCTCCTGGAGTCCCTGGAAACCGCAGTAGACAAGGATAGATGCACTTTGGGGCCCTGGCGTCTCGATGGAAAAGATGTTGTTTCACGGCGCCTGCAGCAGACGGTTCAACACAACGACGCACAAGTGACCAGGGGACCTCAGGGACCCCAGGGATTCTAGGGACCTCAGGGACCCCAGAAAAAGCAAGGACTTCAAGGACCCACAAAGACCCAGAGACCCCACAAAAACCACAGGGACTCCAGGGCCCCAGCATCCCCGCATCATCCAAACCTGGCGAACCGGAAAACAAGGTAAGGGGAGTAGTGTCCGGGAGCTCAGGGCGCCCTCAAAACCAAGATACTCAGAAAATTGGGGTGCCGCAATTCACTTTACGGGGGGAGCTACAGTTCCGGTGAAAACGCAGTGGGGGCCCCGGCCGGCCAGGTCTGCAGGATGCGGTCCAGCACACCTCGGACCCAAGCACGAGCACATGCGCAGTGGCACCAATCAAGTCGAAACAAAGCAAGTGCACCATCGACATCCAACGCACCGCAAAGGCCCAGGCAGCATGTAGGTCAAACGAATCCTGGCACGGGCGGGGGGCCAAAGGGATCAAGGTTGGTCCTAGGCCTGAAAGATCTGCTGACAACAATGACCATGACAACGGAAACAGTGAAAAGGCCCGGGCAATACACCTCGATGTCAAACAAAGCCCTGGCACGCAGTTAAAAAAGGTGACAAAAGGCAACTCCAAGGGCCGAGCAAATTCCAGAGTCTTGGCCACCCTGAATGCGGGCAAAGGGCAAGGACACGTGGGCACGTGGGCCGAAAAACCGCGCCTTACACCCCCGCGAGCGGCTCGCTCCCATCTCCCGGACCCCGAGTAAGGCCCTCAAAAGGCGGCAGCAAGCCGGGTCTCACCACAGAGCCCTCAAGTGCTCACAAGTCGACTGACAACATGAAAATCATGCAAAAACACCACGCCGTGCCATGCCAAACGAATTTCCGGAAAAACAAACATAAACAGGTTTTTTCCGGAAATGGCGGCCCTCGAGCCGCTTGAAGCGAGGGCCGACCAAACGCTTTTGGTCGGACCACTATTTTTCTCGCCCTATAAGAAAAGGACCGGCAAGCAAAGTCAAGATGACTACCATCGCCACTAGCGTCGCCCTGGGCGAGGTCCAGACCAGCCCCAAGGGAGCCAAGTCGGCGCCCTTGAGGTCTGAGGGGAAGCCTATCGTCTGGCAGTCCGAGTGGACCAGCGTCCTCTGGGAGCCCAGCAGTTTCGGCGAGGACCAGGGGCCTCGGCAGAACGTCTGCTTTGCGATGGAGAGGGATTCCGAGGCCTGGGCGGCCTGGGAGGAATTCGAGAAGAGGTGCGTTAACGAGCTGTCTTCGCAGTCGAGCCGCATTTGGGGCGACTACGGTGATGTGAAGGACAGGTGGCAGAGCTGCCTCAAGGAGTCCCGACGGGGAGCGACCTTCCTGAAGTGCAAACTGGACGCGCGGAACGTCCGCTTCTGGGACACCGACGGCAGCAAGATCCAGAGGCCCGAGACTCTTGCCGGCTGCGAGTGTCAGGCCAACATCGAGGCCCGGCAGGTCTGGATCATGGGGAAGCAGTGCGGGTTGGTGCTGGAGGTGAGAGACCTGCTGGTGAAGCCGGGCACAGGCGGGGACTCCTGTCCCTTCTAAACCGGCGTTCTTTTAATCGCGGATTACCAACGTAAAAGAACAGGTTCGCGAAGCCTCGTTTGGGGCCGCTCCATCTGGTCGTGATTTTTGCTCTGACACCGTGTGACAGCAAGGCCCCGAGGCACCAGGGAACCCAGGCACTTGGGCACCCAGGGCACCCAGGGCACCCAGGGCACTTGGGGCACCCAGGGCACCCAGGGCACTCAGAGCGCACTTGGGGCACCCAAAGCACCCAGAACACCCAGAACACGCAGGGCACTTAGGGCACCCAGGGCACCCAGGGCACCCAGGGCACCCAGGGCACCCAGGGCACTCGGGGCACTCGGGGCACGCAGGGTCCATCACGCCAGACGGCACTGTCCTCCAGGCATCAAATCCTCACGCAGTGTCCCTCCCATCCAAACAACCACATGCCACAAAATCGTGAAAAATACAAATGTCAAGGTCAAGTCACGCAACTCCGCCACTTGCTCAAATAGCAAAGCACCACGCAAACCCCGTCACAACCTTCGATCCACGACACTGTGCCCGTTGTACAGTGGCCGCCACTTTCACAGTGGCCCCCTCCATGCCACTTGTACAGTGGCCTGCCACTTGAACAGTGGTCGCACCACCCGCCACTTGTACAGCGGCCGCCACTTTCGCAGTGGCCCCCCCCCCAACACACGACACGACAGCGTCAGCTCCGTGCAATTAGGGTGCAATTAGGGTGCAATCAGGGTGCAAAAGGGCGCAATCCCAAAAGCGTGCAAAAACACGCAAAAACAGGCCCAGTTGGGCGAGCCAGTATCGAAATGGAGTTGGGCGAACCAGTATCAAGCCCCACCACCTCCTACAGGTGCCTGCTCGGCACTCCTAAGTGCCTGCTCGGCACATCTACCTACCAGTGCCTGCTCGGCACTCCTAAGTGCCTGCTCGGCACATCTACCTACCAGTGCCTGCTCGGCACTCCTAAGTGCCAGCTCGGCACTGCCCCCGCCCCCCCAGCGCCAGACCCTCGTAGTGCTTCGCCAGGATGTTCCACGAGGGCGTCACCTTCCTCAAGACAGGGGGTCAGGGTGCAATCAAAAGCAAATTCCATGCCAAAAACATGCAAAACCATGCACACCAAGCAAATGTCATGCAAAAATCCACACATCAAGATCCATTTGATGCCGCGCGCTTTGAGGCACCCGGGGGCGGAGCGGCCACCTTGATCGGACGACCTTTTTTTTAACCAGCCTAAGAAAAGCAATCAAACCCAACAATGGCATCCTGGGCGAGGCAGCGGGAGCACATCAGGGAGGCGGTCGAGGCCGGAT